ATTATTATAAAACATGTTTTAGTTAAGGAGTTATTGATACTTCAAGTGCAAAATGATGATATAAAACCTTGATAAAAATGCACTTTTAAGTACTAATCAATACACAACACAAATTCGAGTGGGACAGTGCGATTGATAATTTTGTGAGGAGGGTGTGAGAAAATCACACGACAACTTGGTAACATCGAAAATAATATAATATTTTTTTTAAAAAATTATGTTTTAAAATATAATTTGTCACTATGGAAGTAAGTTGCATGATTTTTGGTATGAATCACAAAAAAAACCAAAAAATACGTGAGAGATAACGATCTACAAGGTTGGAATAACATGGTGGTTTGGAGGGATTTCAAACCGCCATACATCCTGGGGGATATATGGCTGCAATATATTGAGCACATGACGTCTGAGTAGTTCACACGAACCATGAATTTACCAACAACCGAAACCTACAAATTCATGGTTCAGTGACCACGCATATCAGCGGCTCCATTTCGTTTGCTGCACATGTGAAATGGATGGTAAGACTAATTTAAATGAAATATATCATTAATTAATTTGTTGTTACTTAATTGTTTTTTTCTTATAGGCTACATCTTTTGGACATGAGCCAAGTTGAATGGAGCTGTTTGTAGAGATGCACATGTGTAGTGAAGATCGCCAAAAAGGGGTGCAACAGTTCGTTAACAACCACGCTCAACACTTCGTGGTATGTTTAATCAATCATTTTATTTTGTAAGTTATTATTTTCTTGAGTTAAATATGATGATTTCTTTTTTAATTTTCAGGAGACCTATAATAGATGTTGAGGGAGAGATATGGGGATGGTCCTTCGACCTATCCAGATTTCAATTTTGATTTGGGGATGGAGGTATGGATCGTTTGGTGGACCCAATAAAAATTAGGTGTATAGGCACTCCAACACTACGACTGAGAACTTGCAGGCAACCTATAGTGTCTCAATTGTTGGGAGCTCTCAGTCTTGAGCACTCAATCTAAGGAGTTTGTGGCCTTATAGCAACACACAACTCATCTTACAAAAAATACAAGGAGCTTTCGGGGAATTATGAACAACTCCTCCAAATGGTCATGAACATTATATCACAGATGGGTGATCTATGTGCGCCTTTTTTTTTGGTCGTTTGGTACTGGGAACAACCATCCTCCTCCTCCTCCAACTCTGCCATTATTCTAGTTTAATTTTTTTTGAAAACATATTAAATTTGTATTGAATATTTGGATGAATATTATTTAACTTTATTTTTATATTTTTTTATGTTTAATACAATTTTATTTGCATAATTGGTTTTTTATACTATTAATTTATATTATTTTATACTATTTATTCTAAATAATATTGTTTTTTAAAACACCATCGATAGATTTCCAAACAAAAGTTTTCCATCGGTATTTTACAAAGAATTGAAAAATATTTACTGGAAATGCCACAATCATCGACGTCTCTACAGATGGAAACAATCCATCGGTATTTTACAGAGTGTTGAAAAATATTTACTGGAAATGCCACAATCACCAACGTCTTTATAGACAAAAACAGTTCGTCAGTATTTTACTGAGAGTTGAAAAATATTTACTGGAAATGCCACAATCACCGACTCTTATACAGACAAATACGGTCCATTAGTATTTTACCGAGAGTTGGAAAATATTTATTGCATATGCTATGATCACCGATGGAATATTGCTAGCGGGAATTTTTTTTACTGACAGAATTAGAGATAGAATGTGGAATTACCGACGAACACTATGCCAACGAACTATTTCCATCGGGGATTTAGTCGGTAAAAAATTTACTGACGAATTGGCAGTCTTACATCAACAAAACTGTTAAATGTTGTAGTGTTAAAGGATCAATACATAAAACCCAATGTTTAACATATATTAATTATAAAAATATGTGATTACTTATGATATTTGGAATCTGCGAGACATGTTGCTCATAGTGCATGTATCTAGGTGGAAGAACTTACTCGAAATCTGGAGTAATGACTTTGAATATGATACTCATGTAACAAATCAAATATTCCTCATCTGTAATCATAGGATGCATCTCTATAAATATCTCATTCCTCTGTGTATCACAATGTGATACATAAGCTCCATAACGGCTTAACCAATCATAATCAACATTTTTACCCTGAAGATGTAAGGCGTGCAAAGCATAACACGCATCGATATCAACTGGATTGTGTTGTTTGTAGCTAAACTATCACATTACCTAATCTAGAAAATATAGTTGGACCATCTCAAAAAAATGTAGCAGGACACCTAATGTCCATATGTCCATCTAGTCAGTGCAAATAGCCAAAGCAACTACTAATCTTTAAGTTTTATGTAAGGCATCCACATGACCTATAGAATATAAGTTTTTTAAATATTAAACAATAATAATTCAGTGAAGTTAAGTTTTTTATTTAACAAATGGTTTAAAAAATACCTAGATAAAATGCTGCCTATCTAGCTCGCTCCGATAAAATGCCAACACATGTGTTGGATTATTTGCAAATACTCTACCAACACACCACATAGCATTACAAATATGTCAATTTAATTGTATTTTTTAAAATTTATAATTAGACAATATAAATACATATAATTGCAAAATTACTTTGCAATACTTGTATCCTAGTGGAAGTTTAAGTGTAAACCTTATAGTCTAGACAGTTATGGACGATAATCTAGGCATCTAGGGCCGACTCAAATGAAGAAGCTCACTGAACCATAATTGTTATTAAATAAAAATGGGTTATTTTTTTCGTGTTAACTTTAAGATGTATGATACCCCATTTCAATTTAGAATGAGGGAGTGTTGATTAGTACTTAAAAGTGCATTCTCATTAAGGTTTTATATCATCATATTGCTCCCAAAGTATCATTAAATTCCCCAACTAAAGCATGTTTTATAATAACAAGTCAGATAATATAAGATATCTTTAATTTATGGTAAATGCTTATTTTGAATGGAGGTATATCTCACAATTCAAATGATTGATTGATGTGATTAACTGTTGAAAGTGAAGAGATAAAAAGAGGACTAAGCTTAGAGAAGAGATGATGATTCAATTCAAATTGGAAAACCATTCTGTTATAGGATTATAACTGGAGTTGTAGACCTTGGATTTAGGTCTAGTTTATTGTGATGGAAAGCTCAGACATAGGCCTAAAACATTCATGAAGAGTCCAAGATTCAAATCTGCTGGTTTCAAGTTCAAATCTTAGCAATAAAAGAAATGTCTGAATCTGTCCTACAGCCTAAGCAATATGTGGTGTCTAGTTTATATCTCGAGTTCTAGAAGTAAAAATAAGCTCTGATTCTTTTTTCTAATTGTTGAAAAGCTAAGATAATTATCCACAACTTTCATGAAGATCTATTTAACTCTTTGTTAAATTATATATATTATTTATAATTTATATAGTTCATCTCCCTATGGTTCAACTCCGGTCTTGCTGAATTATTTATTACTTCGACACTCCTGCACTTGGGATAATTTATCAACTCTTTGATCATGTCAAGTTTTTGGCGCCGTTGCCAGGGAGGTAAATTTCTATACAAATTATAATATTTATTTTATTTTCTCTTTTTACTTTTCTTATATCTAACTTTTCTAGTATCTAACTTTTGTTTCCTTTTCTTTTGTTTTCTTCTTCCTTTTACTCTCCTTTTGCACTTGTTTGGGAGTTTGGAAACGCACATTAAGTGGTAGACTTTCTAAGAAATCCTCATCATTTTCAGAAAACATGGCTAGAAAGGATAATCAGTCACTTTATAATGAGAATAATGAGAATTATCATGTTAGAACACTTAGAGACCACGTGAATCCAACAAGAACAAGTGCACCAACATGTATAGTTTTTCCTCCTGATGTGATTAGTACTTAAAAGTGCATTTTTATCATGGTTTTATATCATCATTTTGCACTTGAAGTATCAATAACTCCTTAACTAAAACATGTTTTATAATAATATATCTAATAACCTAAGATACCTTTAATTTGTGGTAAATATTCATTTTAAATGCAGGCCTATTAGATAAATGAAAGGATTGATTTATGAATTTAAGAACTGAAATTGAAAGGATACTTTAAAAACTTAAATTGCAAAGGAAAATATTGAGTTTTATGCAGGCCAATGTGATTATTATTGTTTAATCCTTACATTAATTTTCCATCTCCAAGTTCTCATCATCTTCTTCTTCTTCTCTTTCTTTATTATTATTACTACTACTACTACTACTACTACTATAAAGACTTGCTTAATACATGTCCTCATCATGATTTTGAAACATGGAGATTGGTTTCACACTTTTATGAAAGTTTAACACCAAAAGACAGGCAAATGGTGGAATTGATGTGCAATGGAACTTTTGAA